AGCTCGAATATTTTTATCGAAACGACGACCTGTTCACTCTGTCAAGTCCTTTGGTGGTTTTTCTGAATCCGACCTTGGCGCTAAATTGGTCGGCTGACTTCATGGAATTGGTGTTAGTTCCCCAAAAAGTTCATTAGTTTTATATGGAATACTTTCAGCTTGTGGTCTGATATTGATGAGTATATGAAAAACATTATCGTAGTTATAATGGAGCAACATTTCCTCAATCGCAGGCGTCTGCTTTGGGTTGACAGCGCTTCATTCATTTTGCTCTGCTCCAAATGCGTTCCGATAGGGACGCTCAAGTCTCGAGTCCTTTATGGGAATATGTTTAGAAGTGACAATCCTTTCGGTTACGATCATGAGCTGCATGTCGCAATGGTGTCTTCTTAAATCGTTATCGAATGCTATTTTTTTCCGTACTTGGTTCGGGTAGTTTTTGAGGTAACGAGAATTGAACGTACTTCTCCTAGGTGTGGTGAAAAGGCCGACAAGGGCATATAGAAAATCGGCCATCCCATGGCAGAAGATTCGAATTTTCACCGGAGGCGGCCGTAAGCGGGGCATGTTTTGGGTGATTGACAATAAATCGTGTGCAAGTTTTTTTTAATCAACTACAGGATAGCAACCTCCATTTGCGTTATTATCGAAAGCATACATGGTTATGCCTACAAGAAGACTGTAGGCATAATCCGACCGATTCAACACAGCAGAAATCCAGCTTCCCTACCCTGAGGGCACTTGTGTCTAAGGACAGTGCATGGTTCTGTCCTCAATTATCACCTGCGCCAGATGGGATCGCATTGGCGAAGTGTAAGGTGGTACCATTGGTGACATTGTTTTTTTTTCCGAATGTAGTTTTTTCTTCTATGGAATCCCTTCTTTCCGGTATACATTGCTAAAGGTGGAAGCTGCTTTTTTTTAACAACGCTATACGTTTTACTCACGGGTTCTTGTGAAATGGAATGTATTTTAGAGTCGCGAAATCTAAGATCCTGCCTAGAAAACTTCATCTAGATCGACATGTGCAGAATCACTATTTATCCGAAATAAGGGGTGGAGGTGGTGTAGTGGCAAGTAGCGCACTATACCACATGTACGGTTATCGGTTCGAATCCCGGATCGATGCCAGCTTAGGCCAACCAGGCCTTCCATCCCTCCGGGGTCGATGAATTGGTACCGTACTCGTCTGGGATGATAAAAGCACTGTCTTGTACATCGGCTGGCCACTGCAAGTCATTGTATAGGCACATACGCACTCATTACGCCGCTACGATTCTGAATGAAAGTCAAGTGCGGGGCGCATCCCTCAGAAAGGATTGATAAACGCCAAAAAATTCATCCTTCCTATCCTTCATCGAAGTGAATCGATCGAAGATAACCATATTCGTGGACATAACCTCTCTTGGCGATCTTTTAGGTTGACAGAGCAGTTGAGTAATATTTTTGGAACTCCATTTTGTCACAAAATTTTAAGCCTCCCCATTTCTAAAATTTTCTCTCTTATTTTGCATCTCAACATTACTTCATATATTACCCAGAAGCCTTTTTCTGCTCTGATTCATTGAGTGCTGCTCTTCCGCTTTCACTGAACCTCTGATCCGTACTTGAAGTATTACCTTGCAATCAAGAGTGATTGGTCCGATCAAATCGATGAATATGCCTTCTACTCACTTTGTTCAGATGGACTCATCATCAAAGGTGAAGCTGATTGCTGGTATATTCGTCAGCATGTCCATTATCTCTACAGTGCTGGCGTGCGCACTGTGGGATTTTCCAGCTAATTCTACAATAAGCAATTCACTATACTTCGGTAAGTTTGCTTTATTTTGTTTTTTTTTTGTTCGTTTTATTCTGTTGTAAGGGGTGGAGGTTGTGTATTGATAAGTGATGTATTGTCACAACGCATGAGCCGGGGATTGAATGCGATATCGAGTGTGCGATACTGCTCGCTCAGAAGACGAAGTCACAGTTCACGATAATCTTGAGTCACCATGCCTTCCGTTTTCCCATGTCTGTCCCCCTGCCTCGTGGGTTCCGAAGCACATCCAGTCCTGGTGCGCTTGCTAAATCAGCAACGAAACTCCGAACTAGCACCTAGTTAGGTTGACATAGCTACGGTCTCTCCAAGGTAGTTGAGCTGGTGCCATTTGCCAGAGTTTATGTAGAAGAATTTGGACTTGAATATCAACCCGACCCGCAAGTCACTGTATAGGTCCAATACGCACTCGAACACCACTACAATTTCTTACCGGAACTTGGAAACACCAGGAGCCCCTTGCCCTTCCTAATCCAGAAATATAAAAGCATATCATGACATTCACAAGCATTCGATATTTTTGTCACCTGTCTCTTCGAAGAAGTTATTTCAGGTGGACTTATAATAGGCTTCGTGTTGAACTCCGGTATAGCTTATTGCCTTTTCATTGGAACCGCTCAACAAAATTCTCGGATGTTCTTCCCGTATATAGTATGCGCAACGATTCACACTGTGATCAGGTAAGCCTTTATTTATTCTATTTACTATGCCCTGTGGACGCGCTACAGCAAGGCAAAGAAAGGCACTAACGTGAAAGTACAAAATATTCAACAAAGGAAATATAGTAAAAGGAACTAAAAAAAA